TGTGTGCCTTGTGCAACCCCCCTGCTTCTTTGTCGATGACTTATTTTCTTGTTTCCAACACTACCACAGTAAAAGGCAGCAACTGCACTTTTTAAATTATTTATTTCCCTTCCTCACGCTCTACCTCTCTGCTACTAATACCACAACTACTCTCTACGCGGAAGGGTCTGGCGCTTGTGGGGTGGGGGGGGGGGCGCTGCAGACTGCCGCTTTGTGTGTGTTTCGGCGCGGCCCCCTCCGTCCGTAGCATGCCCCCTCTGAACCCATCTGCGCGTTGCCCTTCGCGTGTGTGGGAGCCAGGCTACGCTTCCGTGTGTGTGGGCGGCGTTGGGTGCACTGAGCCAAATCGTATTCTACCATTGTTGCGCTCTCTGTCTCTGTAGGAATAGGAGGGGCTAGGCCTCATCCAGGGAAGGGGAGAGAGGAGGGGCGCCTGCGGGGGCTTCGATGGACGCCGGCGCCCCGTTGCACGCGCAGCGCGTGACGCTGTCGGCGCAGCAGGCGACCGAGGCGGACGGTGTGGATCCCCGCTTTGCGGAGGTCGTGCGCGCCGCCATCTTTGAGGAGGACAGCGTTGCGTTGCTGAGCGGCGGCGGTGCTGCGGATTGGAACTGCGTGGCCCACGCGCGGGGCAGCGTAAGCGAGGAAGCGCCGAGGGCGCCGCTGTTGCCTCCGCCTCCATGCGGTGGAAGGGGGTGAAGCGAACGACGGAGGCGAGGCGCGTGGGGGCGTGGGGGTGGGGGGGCGTGCGTGTGTCGCTGAAGGGAACTCCTGTGCAAGTCCTCGCGGGTGTTAATGTGTTCTGCACACATGCACACACGCACACACTGCCTTTCTTGTTGTCTTTTTTTTTTATAGTGTTTCTGCTGAAGGGGCAGGCTGGGGGGAGGGCCAGTGGGAGAGAGCGAAAGAGGGCGAAGGGATTCCGCGCCCACGCGGCATGGCGTCTAACCAGCAGGGCGCGTCCACGGCACCGTCGCGGCAGGCGATCGAGGACTGGCTTGAGCGCATTGACGACATCACGGCGTCGGTGGAAGAAATACTCCGCGAGGACCCGATGGAGGCCGCGCGTAGGCGGCAGGAGCGGGAGGCCCAGCGCCGTCAGACGGAACTGGACGCGAGACGTGAGAAGGTGAGGATGCGGTATGACCCGCGGTACTACGCCCGGTTTGAAAACGACGAGGTCATCGATCAGCTGCTAAGGGAGGCGGAGGGCGGGCGCAGGCGAGCAGCGGCGGCGGGGGACGAGTCCTGCTACACCCGCGCCGAGCGGGTCTCGCTGGAGGAGGCCCTGCGACTGAAGGACGATGCCGCAAAGGCCGTACGGGCGTCCGAATGGGCGCGGGCGTGCGAGCTCTACACCACGGCCATCCGCCTCAATGTGGTGGACACGGCACTGCAGCGCACGCTCCGCAACAACCGCGCCCTTGTGCAGTTGAAGCTCAAGCGCTACCTTGATGCCGTCGATGACGCAAGTTGCGTGCTGAGGGAAGAGCCAACGAATGTGAAGGCGCTGCTGCGAAGGGCAGCAGCACTTAGACACCTGCACCGCCCCCTAGATGCACTGAGGGATGTCGGGGAGGCACTGAGGCGGGATCCCGCGAGCCAGGAGGCGGGGGAGCTTGCACACTGGCTGCGACGGGCGAAGAGGGAGCAAGGCATCTGTGCCGTTTTTCAGCACCGCCAGCCCGAAGAGGCAAAGTGCTTGTCCAATGCGGTAAACGCGTTAACGGCAGCTGTGACGGGTTTGCGTGAGTCTAGTGGTACGGAGCCCACCGAGGCGATGCTGGAGGACACCGATGGCGAAGGCGGCCCTGGAGAAACGGCATGGTATCGCGCAGTGGAAAGTGTGCGTCGGTGCCTTGGAGTGGTGCAGTCGTTTCATCGAGGGGCCGCGATGCTGTTCGTCCTGCACGAGGGTTTGAATCCGTTGATCGAACTGGTTTGCATGACCCTCGCCAGGGGTTGCCAGGGACTCGTCAGGGACGCCAGCGCGGGGACTCCGGAGCAGCTGTCGGCACACGGGATGGTATTCTGCGTCGCCGCTCGCCTTTTGTCTCTTGTTTTGCTGGGCAGCGAGACGGGCGTTGAGGGGCTGGAGCCCGCCACTGTGGCGGACCTCGTGCGGAATGTGACGGATGTGTTGTCTGCCGCACTTCGGCACGAAGCACAAGGCACCGCAGGAGGCGCCACACTAAAGCTGACGGTTGCCATCCTGCAGCTGTTGGAGGGGCTGGCCACGCGTTACCCCGTCGTGGTGCATGGCCACTGCGCGCCCGCGCTGATGACGATGTGGGCGGTGATGCGGAAAAGGCAGCCGGCTCCACAGCTGCTCTTTTTTTACTGCGGCATACTCGAGGCGCTCCTCAGGGAGGCGTCCGTGTGTGCGGCGGTGACGAAGGACTTGGATGAAATTCTGCCGCAGGTGACTGAGGTGGCGATAGCGGCGGACCCAGAGCCGCTCAAGGAGGCTGGCCTTTCCTTGGCTGTGCGCGCCACCTGCGTCAGCGACGCGTGCGCAAAGGCGATGGGCTCACTGGACTCCACGCGCGCCCTGGCAACGGCGCTGCCGCCGCTCCAGCGGGGACGCCGCGCCGCACCTCCTTCCCCGCGCGTGGAGGAGGGGGTCTACGCCGTGGTGTACAACGTTCTGCTGCGGGCCGAATCCCGCCCTCAGTACGTGGCCCAGTGGGCCGCCGTAACCGACCCGAGCGGCAACGGTGATTCCTCCTTTGCTCTTCGTGCATGGCTTGCGCTACGCGAGCAGGTGTCGGCCGGTGGGAGCTCCGCCGAGCACCTCTCCGTAAATGCGAAGAAGTTGGCTGTTCTGGCAAGGTTCTCACCCCACGACAAGCTCCTTCGCGACGCCATGCTGGAGGGAGAGGCGACACTATGGACGGCGCTCAACCTCGCGCTTTCGTCACTCAGCTCTCGCGATGCCGCAGCTCTGGCCGCGGCCGACGGTGAAGCGGGGGCAACTGCAGCAGAGGATGAAGAGCCGGTGAAGGCTGCTGCGGCCGCTGCGTGGGAGCTTGTGGAGCATGCATCGACGTGCATCGCCACCTTTTACTCACAAAGCCTTCTTTCAAGGGATCAGGGCCTCGCGGCGGCGGACCGGATTGCCATTTTGATGCATATTGTTCGTCGCGCTGGTGTCCAGCACCTGGTCGCGCTTGGCAACGCGGCGTTGATAGCGTCATTTGTGCCTTCTGCAAGCTGCTGCCACTTTGCCGCAGTGGGCGGTGTGGACTTGCTGCTGCAGGGCTTGCGAAGTGTGCGCGCGCATCTGTGCGACCTGGAGCACGATGGCAAGAGGGGCTCTGCGTCATGGATTCACGGCACAGCCGCTCAGAAGAACCTTGCGATTGCACTCTCGCGCTGCTGCGTGGTGGAGGCTCAGCGGGATCGGCTGCGGGAGTTGAGGGGATTTGAGACGCTCCACGCCATTCTTGAGGCCCAGCTTGCGTGAACTTCGCCGGGAGGAAGCAAAACCGCAAAGGTCGTGCAGCCGCCACACCTCCATCAGCCTCGCACTGCGTGGGGCCGCTGACCAGCGGTGCGTATGCGTATCTCTGTGCGTGTGTTTTCCCCCACCGTTCCCTCTCTCTAAGACACATGCACGGGGGCGGCGGCGCCGCGGCAGGAGCCTCAGAGGCCCCTTCCGCCCCATGGCTGCCGCAGCCGCCGCGTAGGCTCATCTCTGTCCTTGTTTTGGTGCCTTTCTCTCGTCTCTTGACATTTGCGCTGCCTGCGGCGGGGGCGGTTGGCAAGCAACACTGAAGTGCGAAGACAAATAAAAGCGACAACAACAACAACAAGAAGAAGTACCACTCAAGGCGGAGCTCGACGCGAATAATGCCTGTCACGAAGGAAACCCTGGAGTCGTACCGGCAGTTCTACCATGACCAGCTGATGGGCGACTGCGTCCCGTTTTGGATGCGCTCCGACCTCATTGACCGGAAGCACGGGGGCTACATCACCTCCGTGGACCGCGAGGGCCGCTCCTACAACAACGACAAGTCCGTGTGGTTCCAGGGGCGGTGCCTGTGCACCTTTTCGGCGCTGATCAATCGCTACGGGCCGCGGGAGGACTGGCTGGAGGCCGCGCGGGCCGGCAAGGAGTTC